CGAGCAATGGCAGACAAAATTCCATTTGCCTTTTTAATTACCTGCTGCACCTGCAATCCTACTGTTAGCGATTCATACACAAGGACACCCAAGTCCCTCTGCACAGCAGCGTGCTGCAATTTTTTACCATTTAAAACATAGTCCATTTTGCTGTTATTCCTACCAAAATGGATGACCTCACACTTATTTACATTGTACTCCATCTGCCAGACCTTTGCCTACTCACTTAGACTATCTATATCCCTCTGCAGACTTTCAGTGTCTTCTGCACACTTTGCTCTACCAATCACCTTAATGTCATCTGCAAATTTTGACACACCACACTTAGTCCCAACTCCAAATCATCTATGTGAATTGTAAACAGTTGAGGTCCCAACACTGATCCCTGAGGCACACCACTAGCCACTGACCGTCAACCAGAAAAACACCCATTTACCCCTACTCTTTGCTTTCTACTGGTCAACCAATCCTCTATCCATGCCAATACATTACCTGTAATACCATGCAACTTTATCTTATGTAGCAGCCTTTGGTGTGGCACCTTGTCAAATGCCTTCTGGAAATCCAGATACACCACATCCACAGGTTCCCCATTGTCCACCATGCAAGTAATGGTTAAGTGGTTCAATGGTTAAGTTAAAAAAAAATTAAAAATAGGAAGTTAAAAAAAAAAGGCATTTAAGTGCACTAACAAGGATCAGAAATTTGGGAAGAATATGACAAAAGCAAAATAATGATGAAAAGATTAATAAGGAGGAAAATAATTAAGTGAGAGAAAACTAGAGAAACATATAAAAACAGACAGTGAGAGTTTCTATGGATATATTATATAAAGTTATAAAGGTGAGTGTTGGTCTTTTACAAAGTAATTCTGGAGAGTTAATGATAATAAACAGTTGACAGAAGGTATTTTGGATTGATCTTCATTCTAAACAATACAAGTTAAATTCCAGAAGCTGCAATAAGTCAGGAAATGGAATAGAGGGAGGGATCCAGGAAAATTATGAACACCAAGTAAGTGACATGGAGCATATGTTTGGAACTACAGACTTGCAAGTTCCCCAGTCACAAACGATTTCATTCCAGGGTCTCAAAAGCAGAGATTCATGAGCTAAATGGTACATTTTTGTAATTTTCCAAAATGCCTGCGATTTGCTGAAAATCATCATTAGATTGGAAGATAGTTATTGGGAGACACCAGACAGGAAACTACAGGTCAGTTAGCCTAACACAGGGAGAATGTTAGAAGCTATTTTTGAAGACATTATAGTTGGGCACATATGGGAATTCAAGGTGCCATGGCTTTTTTCAAAGGAAAATCATGTTGAACCAAAGTGCCACCTCAGAAGTTATTGCAGGAAAGATAGGCTCTGGGGTGGAGAGTAAGATATTGGCACTAATAGAAACTTGGCTAGCTAACAGGAGTAAGTATGACTCAAGTCTTTTTCTGGTTGATAAAATGTAATGTGCAGTGTGTCACAGGAATCAGTGTTGGTGCCCAAACTTCTTACCACTTTTAAAATGATTTCGATGAAGGTACCAAAATATATAGTTGCTAAATTTGCTAATCGCATAAATATAGGTAGAAAAGTAAGTTGTGAAGAGGACATAGGGAGACTATATAAGAATAGAAATTGGCTAAATAAATAGGCAAAGATCTAGCAAGCGGGGCATAACATCAACCATTGTTTAGCATGCAGACTGAAATAGAAACATCTGATCAAAATGGTGAGAGATTGCAGAGCTCTGAGATGCAGAGAGCGCTAGTGAGCTAATGCATGAATTGTGAAAGGTTAGTGTGCAGATACAGCAATTAATTAGTTCTGTATTAAACCAAGAATTGAAGCAGCACAATGGGAAAGAATGGAACAGCAGAAAAGGACAAGCCCAGCAAGGGGGTCACTCACTTGTCAAATATCGTGCCGATGTTCTAAAATACAAAGAAATGAGGAATGTCAGCATAAAACACATGCACTGATGTTCACCCAACTTCAAAGCTGAACAGCATTGAAAAGTTAATATTTATTCACAATCAGGATTATAGGGTCATAGAGTCATACAGTGGGAAACAGAGCCTTCAGTCCAACCAGGCCATGCACCCAATCTAAATTAGTCACCCCTGCCTGCGCTTGGCACATGTCCCACCAAACCTTTCCTTTTCGTGAACTTATTGTCATAGAATCCCTACAGTGTCAAAACAGGCCATCCAGCCCAACAAGTCCACACCAACTCTCCGAAGAGCATCCCACCCAGACTCCCCCCGCCCATCCCTGTAGCTCTGCATTTCCTATCGTTAATCCACCTAACCTATACATCCCTGAACACTATGGGCAATTTAGCATGGCCAATCCACCCTAACCTGCACATCTTTGGACTGTGGGAGGAAACCCACGCAGACACAGGGAGAATGTGCAAACTCCACACAGACAGTCACCTGAGGGTGGAATTGAACCTGGGTTCCTGATGCTGTGAATCAGTAGTGCTAACCACTGAGCCACCATGCCGCCCCCTGTACTGAGCCACTGCACTGCATTAAAATGTATTTTAAACATTGTAACTGTACCCACATCCACTACTTTCTCTGGCAGTTCATTCCACATATCAACCACATGCTATATATAAAAAAAAACTCCTTATGTCTTCTTTAAATCTTTATTCTCTCACCTTAAAATATGTCTCACCCTAGGGAAAATATCTTTGCTATCCACCTTATCTATGCTCCTCATGATTTTATAAATCTTGAGAAGATCACCCCTCAACCTCCTATGCTCCAGTCGTTCCAGTCTATTTTTTATAACTCAAAGCTTCCATTCATGGCAACAGCCGACTAAATCTTTTCTGAACCCTCTCCAATTTAATAATATCCTTCCTAGAGCAGGGCGAGCAAAACTGGACACTGTACTCCAGAAGAGGCCTCATCTATGTCCTATGCAACCTCAACATGACATCCCAACTCCTGTACTCAAAGGTCTGAACAATGAAGGCAAGTGCTCTAAAAGCCTTCTGAACCATTCTGTCTACCTGTCTTGCAAATTTCAAAGAATTATGTACCTGAACCCCTGGGTCCGTCTGTTCAACAACTCTACCCAAGGCCCTGCTTTTAATTGTGTAAGAACTGTCCTTGTTTGTTTTACCAAAATGCAATACCTCAAATTTATCCAAATTAAGTATTTAATTTCTGCAACCCAGTGTACCATAGATTAACTGGAAATGCCACTGGAGCTCCAATGATTAAATTGTAAGGAGAGATGACACAAACTAAGGCTGTGGAACTTAAAAAGTTATATAGAAGCATTGAAAGTAGCGCAAATCTATATGCTGCATTCGGTATAATCATTGATTCTCCACCTTAAGGCCATATTCCCACTCTCTCCCTTTACACCCTTGACACGTTTCAGAATCATAGAATCATACACCACAGAAGGGGCCTTTCGGCCAATCATGTCTATACCACCAAAAATACACTGCTACCTACACTAGCCCCACTTTCCCACATTGAGCCCAGGCTTTCAATGTTATAACAGTTCAAGTGCCCATCCAAGGTTGTGAGGTTTCTTGCCTTAACTACACTCCCAGGCAGTGCATTCCAGACCCCCACCGCCCTTTTTCTTCCATGAAATCGCCTCTAAACCTCCTGCCTTTCACTTTAAAAATTACTCCTCCCTACCTCTCCACTCCCCTCCCCCCAACTATTGACTCTTCAGCTGAGGGGAACAACTGCTTTCTATTCACCCCGTCCATGTCCCTCATAATCTTATACACCTCTATCAGGTCCCTCCTCAACCCTCTCTGCTCCAAACAAAACATTCCGAGTTTATCCAGCTTCTCTTTGCAGCTGAAATGCTCCACCCCAGGCAATGTGCGTCCGCAAATCTATTTCATTCTCAAATATATTCTTTGACTTGGCCTCCACAGCTCTAGGTGCTAGAAAAGTCTGCACAGGTTTATGGGGTGATAGAACTGAGGTTTATAAGATCCCAAGGGGCACAGTTGGATTGATGGATTTGCTCATATAGGGGGGTCTCAGTCTCTGAGGCTGAGTTGAATATTAGAGCCAGATTTTTCAGGACAGAAGTTTAATAATTGTCTCTAGACACCAAAGGGTACAGAAGTTTGGAAATCATCTCTGCAAAAGGCAGTTGAAGCTGTTTGTCAGAAAGGTTGCTGGTCAAGATGGCAACAGAGTAGGATGCTCTGGTCGGAGCTCCTCTGCTTGCCAGTCCCCTTACCTTTTTCCCTTTTTTTTCTCTCCTCTTGTAATTCTTCCTTTCTCCCCCACCCTCCCACCCTCCCTGCTTGCGGAACAAGCAGGCCAAATCCATGGCCGACCGGAGCGAGCAGGCTGAGTCCCATGGGAGATTGGAGCGGGTACAGGCCCAGACCCATGGCAGACAGGAGCGGGTACGGGCTGAGTTCTGTGGTGGAACCAGCATGGACAGTGTGGCCTTGTGCTCTGGAGCCTGCAGGCATGTCCCAAGATAGCCCCAGAACAGTGCGAACCGTGAGCTGCGGAGCAGCATGTGGGTTGTGAGCCTAGAGCATCACGTGGGCTGTGAACCTAGAGCAGCACGTGGGCTGTGAGCCTAGAGCAGCACGTGGGCTGTGAGCCTAGAGCATCATGTGGGCTGTGAGCCTAGAGCATCACGTGGGCTGTGAGCCTGGAGCATCACGTGGGCTGTGAGCTTAGAGCAGCACGTGGGCTGTGAGCCTAGAGCAGCACGTGGGTTGTGAGCCTGGAGCAGCACGTGGGCTGTGAGCCTGAAGCAGCACGTGGGCTGTGAGCCCGGAGCAGCGCGTGGGTTGTGAGCCTGGAGCATCACATGGGCTGTGAGCCTAGAGCAGCATGTGGGCTGTGAGCCTGGAGCAGCACGTGGGCTGTAAGCCCGGAGGAGGACGTGGGCTGTGAGCCTGGAGCAGCGCGTGTGCTGTGAGCCCGGAGCAGTGAGTGGGCTGTGAGCCCTGGAGCAGCACGTGGGCTGTGAGCTCCGGAGCAGCGCGGGGAAGAAGCCCCAGAGCAGCGAGTCCTGGATGGAGACCGGTGTGAGGGGACAATCCTTACCTTAGAACTTACCTTAGAACACTGTAACGTTAACCCCTTAATAGTTTCCTATTTTTAACTTATTTTCAACTCTATAATTAAGCAACTACTTGTATTCCTCTGCTGTATCCAAGCATTGTATCTGGGTACTTGTACCTAAGATGTCGTTTTAAGAAGGCAGACATTGTGAAAGTTTTTCACTGTACTCCTACAATGGAGTACCTGTGACAATAAAAGGATATTGTATTGTATTGAAATCCGACAGACTTTCTTAATTGATTTATTTCCTGGATGTGGGCCAACATTTATTATCCAGCTTGAATTGCCTAAAGCTGAGTCAACAGTCAACCACATTACTGTGGGCCTGGAGTCACATGAAGACCAGGCGAGGTAAGGATGGCAGATCGCCTTCCCTGAAAGAGGCATTAGTGCACCAGATGGGTTTTTATGACAATGGTTACATGGTCACCATCAGTCTAGCTCTTTCTTATTTCAGATTTGTATTGAATTCACATTTTAATCATCTTCCAGAGTGGGATTCAAACACAGAACAATGTTCAGGGAGGTTCTTAATTACAAGTCAGGGACATCACCATCATACCACAGCATCCCTTCTGTGCTAGAAGGCACAGAGGCAGGCCATTCATCCCAACAAATTCATACTAGCCTTTCTAATCCACAATCCTCCTGCATTTCCTCATCCATTGTATCCCTCCTTCAAATGCTTGTGTTGCTTCCCCTTAAATCAATAAGGGGTTCCGGCCCATTGATGCGATTGCGAGTTTAGGGTCCTGAGCTCCAAGGCAGCAATGGCCAGCATTGAGCTCTGACCAAATTACAACTGCATCCTACCCTGGCAAGGAAACCCCAAACTTGCACAGGAAACCCCTCACTCTTACATGCATTCTCCCCCTGCTCTGGATCACATTGGGAATCACAACAATTTTCAGGTCTCAAAGTGGGGTATCAGCAGGATCAAATCTGGGAAGCACTGCCTTCCATGGTTCTATACTGTCCACTTCAACCTGTGGGGGTGAATCTCACCTTCTCAATACCGACTGAATAAAGAGACCTCTTCTGAATGCGCTGTGGGTTTTTTGCTGGCTACCTTATGTCGACAGCCTCTAGTTCCTCACAAAAGAAAACATTCTCTCTCTCTCTGTCTAAATTTCAAATTGTTCAGAATTTTAGTCACTTCTGTTAGGTCAGCCCTCAGCCTTCATGTTTCCAAGTCAGAGTTAATCTAACAACACAATCCTTTTTTGATATTTATAACAACACATTTCTGGTATCATCCATGTAAATCTCCTCTTCACCCATAAGTCTTTGCACTTTTCATAATATAGAGACTAGAACTGTGTGCCCTAAGCATGTTTTAATCAAGGATCAATACAAGTTCAGTGTAAACACCCGACTGTGTGATTCTACCCCTTTAGAAATAAAGGATAACACTTGACTTGCTTCACTATAAAGATGACCTGACAGTTACCTGTCGATCATCATTAACTGGTGCATTATTCAAGCTAGTGCCTTAAGTAATCAACCAACCAACATGATCCTTTCATACAGTATAAATTACATGTTGCTTTTATTACATGTTCTGTACACCACAGGAACAGACATTACGGCCCTACTAGTCTGAACCTGTGTCAATGCATCCTCCTATCTCTTCACGCCTAAATCCGTTATAACTCTCAATGTTTTATATATATGTATATAATGCCCAGAGGGCAGTTAAGCGTCAACCATGTTGTTGTGGATCTGGAGTCACGCACAGACCAGACCACAGAATGACGGCAGATTATTTTCCTGAAAGGACATGAGTGGACCAGATGGGCCTTTACATAATTTGCAATAGTTACCATTGGACAAGCTTCAAATGTTGGTTCTCCCTTAATACTGGTAATCTTGCAAAATGCCCTGACAAGTGCAAGACCAAAAGGTTTTGACAAATCATGCCTCTCCTTAAAATAAAGAGGTCGTTAGCCTCACCTTAAGCAATGGAATATCTTCCTGCGGTAATTTCTTTTTAATGTCTGAGATCAAGTGATCGACGGTGACGGGATTCACTCCACTTTGAGTGGTGCTTTCTTCCAGTTGCTGCAGGAAATGTTCCTCTTGCATCTCGACCTGCCCCTGGATGGTAACTTGTTCCTTCTCCAGAAACTTCCGCAGAGCGTTGAAAGCATTTTCGATCTTTTCCCGGACGACGTCTCCTTGGTTCTGGGCAGAGGAAGGCACGTCAGAAACACAAAGACAAAACCGGCCTTTGGAGCCGCTCCGGGCCATCCCCCCTCCCTCCAGCATGTTTCCCATTGAGGTAGTCAAAACTGGTGACCTCTACCTGCTGTTACCAGCAGGGAGCAGAGAAGGTCTCCCGGGCAGAGGGACATGAGGGACAGCAGTTAGCTCTCTGCCCAGGTCACAAGGACACATATTGTGTCATCACAGTCTTATTGCTGTTGGTGGGACCACACTGTGCAAAAACTGGCTACATAAATGCTTGGAAGGGGCAATGGCGTAGTGGAAATGTCACTGCAACTAGTGGTTCAGGGACACTGGTTCAAATTTCAGCACCACAGCAGTTAGTGGAATTTAAACAGGTCTGGAATTATGAAAGAGTTGCAGTGATCCTACCAGAGAGTGCTGAGACTTTGCTCGTTCGCATTCTGGGAGTGGACATTGCAGTCAGCGTGTGTGTGAAGGGCATTGTAGAAGAACCTGGTGTTAAGGAAACAATCAACCCAAACACTGCATTACTGTAGTGTTTCCATCCCACCTCCCTCCCTAGGAGGAGAAGCAAGGTTCAGAGAAGACAGATCATTGTGCGAGGAAGGTCAGCAGCGAGAGTTCCATCTCGAGCCTAAACAGCTTCTGTGGGTGAGTAACAGGTAAGTTTTGAGAAATCGTTGTCAGAGCAGAGACCCTAGTAGCTTCAATTTAGTATTAAAAGTATTTGACATTGTACAGATTAATTAAGTTAAAGAGGTAAGGCATGGCAGGAGAGCTCCAGCTGGACACAATTCCAGCGCCTGGGACCTGGATGTATACAAGAAGTGTCCCCAGCTGCAGCTCCCGGAAGCCCGAGTTTTGGAGTTGGAGCAGAGTCTAGGGACACCGTGGGTGGCACGGTGGCTCAGAGGTTAGCACTACTGCCTCATGGCGCCGAGGGACCCGGGTTCGATTCCACCCTCGGGCGACTGTCTGTGTGGAGTTTGCACGTTCTCCCCGTGTCTGCGTGGATATCCTCTGGGTGCTCTGGTTTCGTCCCACAATCCAAAGGATGTGCAGGGTAGGGTGGATTGGCCATGCTAAGCCACCCATAGTCCTCAGGCATGTGTAGGTTAGGTGCATTAGCCGTGGGAAATGCAGGGTTACAGGGATAGGGGAGGGGCATGGGTCTGGGTGGGATGCTCTTTGGAGGGTTCGTGTTGACTTGTTGGGCTGAATGCCCTGTTTCCACACTGTAGAGTTTCTAAGGATTTGTGAGGCAGAGAGTATCATGGATAGCATGTACAGAGAAGTGGTCACACCCCAGACTCAGACTCGGCAGGAAGGGAAAGGGTGACCACCAGGCTAAGCAGGTAGTGCAGGAGTCTCCTGGGGCTACTCTCCTGCAAAACAGATATACCATTTTGGATACTGTTGAGGGGAATGGCCTCTCAGGGGATAACAGTAACAGCCAAATTTATGGCACCATGGTTGACTCTGTTGCAGAGGGAGGGAGAGATAGGCACAGAAATGCTATAGTTATAGGGGATTCAATTGTAAGTGGAATTGATAGGTGTTTCTGTGGCTGCAAACAAGAGTCCAGGATGGAGTGATGCCTCTCTGGTCGTAGGGTCCAGGATAGTTGGGAACGGTTGCAGAGCATTCTGGAGGGGGAGAGCGAACAGCCAGTGGTCATGATATAAGCCAGTACTAATGACACAGGGGTAAAAAAGGGATGAGTTCCGAAAAGCAGAATATAGAGAACTAAGAAAAAAGTTGAAATGTAGGACCTGAAAGGCAGTTACCTCAGGATTACTACCAGTGCCACGAGCTAGTCAGAGCTACTCATCAGTAGGATGAACATATGGCTGAAAGATGGTTTGAGGGGGAGGGTTTCAGATTCGTGGGGCATTGGGACCAGTTCTGCAGGAGGTGGGTTCTATACAAACTGGACAGGTTACACCTTGGCAGGACCAGGACTGATATCCGCGGTGGGGATGGGGGAAGGGTGGGGTGGTGGGAAATACTTGGTAGAGTGGTTGGGGAGGGTTTAAGCTGATGTGGCAGGGGAATGGGAACCAGAGGAGTAGGGTACTGGATGCAGAAATAGAGGGAGAGGCAGAAACCAGGGCAAACATGACTAAGAACAAAGACAGGCAAGGAAATGCCACTGATAAGAGCAGGGGAGGTTGTCTGAAATGTATGAGTTTCAATGTGAGAAGTATAATAGGCAAGGCAGATGAACTTAGAATTTTGGTTAGTACTTGGAGCTATGACATTATTGCGATTACAGAGACCTGGTTGATGTTTAGATGTTTCAGGACTTAGATGTTTAAGGTGTGATAGAAAGGGAGGTAAAAGGGGTGGGGGAGTTGCATTCCTGGTAAAGGATATCTCACAGCTGTACAGAGGGAGGATATGTCAGAGGATTCATACAGTGAGGCAGTATGGGTAGTACTCAGGAATAAGAAAAGTGAAATCTCAGTGCTGGGTGGTACACTACAGGCCCCCCAACAGCCAGCGGGAGATAGAGGAGAGAATATGTAGACAGATTTTGGAAAGATGTAGTAACAGCAGGGTGGTTGTGGTGGGTGGTTTTCACTTCCCATATATTGACTGAGACTTAGGGGCTTGGATGGGGCAGAATTTGTAAGGACCATTCAGGAGGGATTCTTGACACGGTATGTAAACAATACAACCAAGGATGTGGTTATACTGGACATGGTTTTGGGAAATGAGCCCGGCCAGGTGAGTGATGTTTTGTAGGGGAGCATTCTGGGAATAGTGACCATAATACCGTGAGTTTTCAGACACCCAGGGACAGAGATAACAGCAGTCTTCAGGTGAATATGTTAAATTGAGGGAAGGCAAACTACAAGAGTATTAGGCAGGAACTGGAGAATTTTGATTGGAGGTGGCTGTTGGAGGATAAATCTAGATGTGACATGTGGGAGTATTTTAAACAGCAGCTTGATAAGATTTCAGGAGAGGCATATTCCTGCAAGAATGAAGGATCAAAATGGTAAATTATGTGAATCTTGGATGACCATGGATGTTATGACCTTGGTCAAAAAGAAAAAGGAAGCGTATGTAAGGTGTAGGTGGATGGAAACTGACAAAGCCCTTGAAGTGTATAAAGAGACTAGGAAAGAACTTAAACAAGGAATTAGAAGGGTTTTATATATAAATAAAGCAAGAGGGTAGCCAGAGAAAGAGTTGGCCCACTCAAGGACAAAGGAGAGAATCTATGTGCAGAGCCAGAAGAGGTAGGTGAGGTCCTAAACAATTATCTTGTGTTGGTATTCACTAAAGAGAAGGAATTGGTGGAGGATGATCCCAGGGAAGGGAGATCGAGTTTCTGAGCCAAGTTGCTATTAAAAAGGAAGAGATGTTGTGCGTCTTTAAAAAGTATTAAGGTAGGTATGTCCCTGGGTCCTGATGGGATCTATACCAGAATATTGAGGGAGGCAAGAAAACAAATGCTGGAGCATCGATAGACATTTTTGTATCCTATTTGGCCATAGGTGAGGTCCCAGAGCACTGGGGAATAGCCAATGTTGTCCTATTGTTTAAGAAGGGTAGCAGGGATAATCCAGGAAATTACACTCCTATGAGCCTCACATCAGTGGTTGGGAAATTATTGGGAAAGATTCTCAGGGACAAGGTCTATACACATTTAGAAGCAATTGGACTTATTAGCGATAGACAGCAGGGGTGGTTGTGCCTCACTAACTTGATTCAGTTTTTTGAGGACATGACAAAGATATTAGATGAGGGAAAAGTGATTGATATTGTTTACATGGACTTCAGTAAAGCCTTTGATAAGGTCCCTCATGGCAAACTGGTACAAAAGGTGAAGAGTCACATAGTATTGGGGTGAGCTGGCAAGAACTGGCTTAGTCATAGGAAATGGAGTGTAGCTGTGGAAGGATGCTTTTCAGAATGGAGGGCTATGACTAGTGGTGTCCCACAGGGATCAGTGCTGGGACCTCTGCTGTTCGTGGTCTACATAAATGATTTGGTGGAAAATGTAACTGGTCTAATTAGTAAGTTTGCGTATGATACAAAGATTGGTGGAGCTGTAGAGAGTGAGGAGGTTTGTCAGAGGATACAGCAGGATATAGATCAGTTGGAGGCATGGGCAGAAAAGTAGCTGATGGAGTTTAATCCAGACAAATGTGAGATGATGCATTTTGGAAGATCAATTACAGGTGGAAATTATACAGTGAATGGCAGAACCCTTAGGAGTATTGATATGCAGAGGGATCTGAGTGTGCACATCCACAGATCACTGAAGTGAGGTAGATAAGGTATTAAAAAAGGCCTATGGCATGCTTGTCTTCATTGGAAGAGGCATTGAGTACAAGAATATGCAAGTTATGCTGCAGCTTTATACAACTTCAGTTAGGCCACACTTGGAATATTGCGTACAGTTCTAGTCACCACACTACCAGAAGGATGTGGAAGGGTACAGAAAAGGTTTACCAGGATGTTGCCTGGTATGGGGGCTTTTAGCTCTGAAGAAAGGTTGGATAGACTGGGTTTGTTTTCTCTGGAATGCAGGAGGTTGAGGAGCAATCTGATAGAAGTTTATAAGATTGTGGATGGCATGGATAGAGTGGAAAGTCTAAGGCTTTTTCCCGAGTGAAGGGGTCAATTACTAGGTTCAAGGTGCAGGGATGGGGGTGTGTAGCTGAAAAGAGATGTACAGGGCCAGTTTTTCACATTAAGGATGGTGAGTGCCTGGAAACGCACTGCCAGAGATGTTGTTGGAAGCAGACACAATAGCAGCATTTAAGAAGCACCTGGACGAATACATGAATAGAAAGGGAATAGAGGGATACAGATCCTGTAAACGGAAGCAGTTTTAGTACTGACAGGCACAATGTGGTGGCACAGGGTTGGAGGGCTGAAGGGCCTGGTCTTGTGCTGTATCTTTGTTTGCTCTTTGATGACAAATACTGTAATATTATGGTAAAAGAGCCTATCTGGTTCACTAATGGCCTTCAGAG